CTGTTGACTTTCTTTAACCCTAAAGTCTCCTTTCACTTTAATATTTTTTTTCTTTCCCTTATCAAATCATTTTAAAATGTTCTCCCTGTCTTATGTCTTCCTCTTTGTTATTACCTCTCATTTCCTTCCCTCTCCACATTCCTCCTCCACTCGTCCCCTCTCTCATCTCCCCTCTTTGTTTCACCTCTGTTCTCCTTTCCTTTCCTCTCCGCAGCCATCTGTTTATCCAATATGGCCGTCCCATCTCAGCTGGGAGCTTTCCCAGGGAACAAGACTTCTAATACAGATCCTCCTCAACTTAATGGCCCTCAGTTCTGCTTTTGCTATTCCCTCACTTGCAGAGAGACACAATAGAAGAAACACAGAAGTACAAAAATGTGTCTGGATGCTCCCAAAAAAACGGTCCCACGGCGGCTGAAATAAACGGACAAAACCACATTTCAAAACGCTGCGGCTATTTTCCTCTTGTCAGGTGGACAGAGTAAATATACATATACCCTTTATGTATAACGTTACACAAGACCGATTCGAAACAACAGATCATCCCTTAATACTGGGAAGTAAACTCACACTAAAGAGAAGGAATATCTTTTTCTTCATAATTACGTCAACCTTCATCTAAATGTTGTCATACACTTCTCAAACTGTGCAGTTTTGTATAGGCTATTTTCGTGTGTACTGCCCCTTAGCCTAGTCACGCAAACACTGCCGCCTGTTTGACATTGTTGATGCGTCAGTGGAGCCTTTGCCGTTTGCTTTATTGGGTTTTTGCATAAGCAACGAACAAGCAAAAGAAGGTTGATTCTTACAACTTCATATGCATAACAATGTTGTAAGGCCTCATTTGTTGACAGTAGATGACAGTTGATGATATTTCTGGTAATAAATGAACATGCAAATACCAGGGGGGTCCAATTGCTAAACTATAACCTCATCATCGGCTTTAGTGTCCGTCTGTCAGAAACATGGGTCATTGAATGGTATTGACAGCATTTCTGAGAGCATATTTTCTGTTTACCTCAGACAAACTGCAAACGGTAGCCGCCTTAATTTTTTCCTAGGTTGAGTGTTGACAAGGCAAACAAAAGGGCTCGCCGTCCCAACATCAGACGCACATCCTTTTTATTAAAGGGTGCAGAGAGGAAGGAGGGGAGGGGGGGGGCTCGTGTTTGTGAAAAGGGAGTAGAGTTGGGAAGGTAAGATATAAACATATGAATCATCAAAAGTCCCAATTGCCCAACTAAAATCTCCCTCTCATTGTGTTGGGGGCGGGAATCAGGCCAGCCATCCCAACACTGGAACAATGGAGGAGAGGGTAGAAAAGGACCAGTTAGGGTATGAGTCACCCCCCCACACGCACACACAGGGCAAACAAATATCTCATCTCAATTTGTATTCAGCACAAGGTGTTCTTAAGAAGACTGTTTATACTTTTCATTAAGAAAATATGACATATTTTTACTTTTCCAAGGTTCAGGTATTTAAAATTCATCAACCATATTAGATTTCATACTCTGTTGTGTTAGCAGTTTAATTAGTGTCTATGTTGTTATTGGTCATTTGCAGCATATTTCAATTTTAGCTGCATATATATATATTGGATTTTTCTATTTCTGCTTCAGTCAGACAAATCTACATGCCTTCCAACAATTGATCTCCTTACAAAGGGATTTTTTCCTTTTTGTTTCATCTTTAAATCAATAAAACACGGAAAACTAGGCATCGATTTGGCTGCATATATTCATTATGTTTTACCGAAGCTGACGACACACATTTAAATAGTGATACAGTATGAACTCAACAATTAATCACTGCTAAAATACTTTCATTAGCCATTTACAAACTATGAAACTATGTGCACAATTGTTTTTTAAAGTACCCCAATAGCTGCTGATAACTATGTATCTGTGCACCAACCAAGCTCAAAGATAAGGTTGCGTATTCTAATTTTCTAAGAGATAATTGTATGTTTGAAAAATAAAATTAACATGTTTGGGTTATGTTTTGGCCAAAAATGAATAACCATAAAAAATGTTCATTTCCAACAATCCAATCCTTCATTAAAAAACACTTTTGTGCGTTAACAACAACAACAACAACAACCAACCATCGCTATCATCTCAAATACATACTCAAACTCTGATTACCTAACCTTCAACAGCCACATAAACGCACACTTCTCTTCAGTTTAATTCCAATTTGATCAAAATAACCACAGATAATTGTGACGTCAACCTCGGCAGAAGCTTCTCTCATCCTGCCACCGTGTCCCAGTGAAAGAGCATTTATTCTAAAACCAAACGGGGGTCGGTTGGCGGTAACCCAAGAGCCCACGCCACCTCCTCGGATCCGAGGTGTTAGAAATAGCGTCCCTCAAGTTGTACCTTTTCTACAGAGAGGGTGAGAATAAAAGAGGCAACGCGCTGCATTGGAAAACAATGGGGAGAGCTCTTTCGGAGGAACTCCTAATGGTTAATATAAAAGCCCGTGACCGACGCCAACTTATGGAAACTAAATCTTTAAACACCCTTTTGTTGGCAGGCACCTTGCGCGCACCGTACCAGAGAAACGATTCACTTCTTACAGCACTATTAATGGTGAGCGGGCCTGTGCGTTACGTGTGAGCAGTGTCTGTGCCTGAATGTGGGTCTGTGTGTGTGTGTGTGTATTTATAGCTTCCCACATCGCCACACTACTCCTCCAACAAACCTTTAATTCTACTCTGCATCCTCTCTCTCTGGACCCCCCCACTCCCCCCACCGACCTCACATTTAATAGTCAGATCTGTATTAAAAGGAGATGTCAAAGTTCAGGGGGGTAAAAGCATGATATCTTGGGTTCAATGGCACACACACACCATATGTAGGAAGCATTTTTGCATGTTTTGTCATGCATTAACGGTATGGGAACATTAGCCTGCATTGACTCCCATGTACGCACACACAGGCACACATGAATAACCAAGCGGGAGACGTATTCACACTGAGATAAAGACCCGATGACACAGGTCCTAGGAGGGGTTCTTCCGTATCATTTGTCGTGTTTGTTACCGTAGTTGTTGAACTAAAAGCGGCAGCAGAACAGAATGGCAACACATTTCACACAAACGGCACAGTGCACACACAATTGAATATGAAAGCTCAGCTGAAAATATAACAATTTGAGGGAGATGTTTCAAAACCAAGACGGTTAGAAGGGGACGATTTCCACAACCCCAGTTCCAATTAGTTCATTTTTCGATGGCCCCGCTCACGGTTTCTCTTCACCATCACTAATACTAAGCCTCGCTAAGCAGTTCTCTCAATATTAACTAATGAGAAACAAGCAAAGAAGGACTTTTTGAATCCCCCTCGTGCTTAAGCAAAGTGGCTCTTTAAAAATACTCAGTTTTATTATGTCTCTCGTTCAAGTGAAATACAATCCCACCTCCCCTGTACCTCGAGCCGTGCAACTGCATTGAGCTCCGGTCATTTTCTACCTTTTGTAACTGGCATCCATCCCAATTACTATTCATTAGGAAAACATAATGACATTTCATTCAGGACCAAAAAAAAAAGGGAGTGACAAACACAAGCGGGGGGAGGTAATTGAATTAGGACGAGGGTGTGATAGTAGAGGGTTCAGAGTGGAGAAAAATGATCGTTCAAAGTTAATAGGCAAACCCCACACAATTATAGGCCGTGGCCACACCTCACGGCTCGCCTGTGTGCGTCTGTGCGCGTGAACGCAAGTGAAGTGCTGCGCACCCCAGTTGAATGCAAATACACATCTCGGAAATGTCAATAGCGGGGACGCAGCGTATGCTAAATGTCAACATGTGTTTTTCAAGGACTCTTTTCAATGTTGTAATTGGCTCTGTTTTTGAATGTTAAATGTATCTCATTTTTTTATTTTCCCCTTTTGATAACCAAATACTATGAAATGTTTTGGAGGGAATTTTGCAACACGCCTGTGCCCATTAATATGCAGCTGAGCCTTTGGCAGTGCAGCGCGAAACAAACAGACAAAAGGAGTACGGACAACGGGAAGAAAAACAGGTGAAGCGCAGACTAATCAAACGCCTTTCATGCCGCTCCGAACATTAACCTTCACTCAGAGCAAATGACGCTGCAGGCGCACAGACTCTCCCTTGAGCTCGGTGATGAATAAGCGGGAATTATCACGGTTTTACAGTAAGGTGGTTGATAATGTTCAGTTTGGTACAACTGAGAACACAGTTCAGATTTTGTTGGCTTCATCTACTTTGTAGGTGATAAATACTGAGGGAAAATGCCTCAAAAGAATGTCCACCGCAAAAAACTGAAGGTTAAAAAATCTTGAAATGAGCATTTGTTATCACTGTGACTCCATTCGCTTTTTAATAAGCTATTTAGTAAGCTCTATGATCTTTTTTTTTTTTTTCCACCAATATGCTAATAGCCAACATCTCTTACCATCACAGAGTGTGTGCCCACTTAGATGTGGGGGATGTATCGAGGGGAGACGGGCGGTGTGCAGTTCACATGAAGCCCTCAGACTCGGACCCAGTTAGCAGGAAAAGTGCCTGAAGCTTTTCGTCCCAGTTTTCACAACCCACAGCCAAAATGTGTCACACACAGGGTAAATGTGGCTGGCTGCTGTATTTTGATCAGGCAGTTGGACGGACAGCAGTGGCAGCTAGAAGCACCTCACACACAGACAGGCCCGTGTCCTCTGCATTAGTGTTGAGCTGGCGCATAAAAGAGGAAGATTAAAGGCCTATTGAAGATAAAGGATTGAGTACATGGTGTTCATGAACTGCGTAAAGCGCTCTCAATTATGGATGACGACGTGGGGAAAGAACATTGAAACTAAATTCGAGATGATTTATTGGAGGCCCCGCAGAATATCTGCAACTAGAATTGAAGACTAAAAATAGCAGCATGCTCGTATTAAAAAGGAATGATGGAAATACGGTTGTAATGCCACAAACATTTTCACAAAATCGCCTCCCTCTCGTCTCGTTCATCGTGGACGCCTACCTTGAGTTCTCGAAAGAAGATGCTGCTGCGGGCCCACTCCACGATGGAGAAGAGCGTCTGGTCGGCCATCTTGCACATGAGGCCGAAGGTGTTGAGCTTCTCGTGTTTGCCCCGACTGGCTTGCTCCTGCTGCAGGTACGCCATGATCTTGGCCTGAACCTGTGGCTCGTCTGGCTCACACTTGAGCAGCTCCACGATCAAGTGAGGGAAGCTGGGCGGTGAGCCCGTCTGGTAGGCATCGACGTAGGCGTAGCCCATGATGGACTCCGGCGAGCTGGTGTACGGGTCGGGGTACTCGGACTTGATGGTGCGCGTGCCCTGGAAGTGTCCGTAGGCCGCCTGGTAGCCCTGCAGGCTGCCGGCGTGCGGCGGCATTGCCATGCTGACCGGCGAAGTGACAAACGGACTGCGGTCGTAGTCTGTGGGGGGCAGGGCGTTGGCGTGGTGGTGGTGGTGGTGGTGGTGGTGGTGACCCGTGTGGTGGCCCGGGTGGTGGCTCAGCGGGAGGCCCTTGGACGCGGCCGAGTGGATGTTCTGGATGGCCGAGGAGATGGTGAGGTCGGTGGGCACGGCCTGCATCACCTGAGTCATGGCCTCGATCTTCAGCCCGTTGGCTCGGATCAACGCCTTCTTCTGCTGCTTGAGGGCCCGGTCACGTTTGTACATGGGGCCAAACTTGTTGCGACCCCCGCGCATACGGTCCGCCCGCACAGCTGAGACGGAAAAAAGGAGGAAGAGGAAATATTATCTTTATTTCAGGTCATGTTTTTTACTTGAATGCATGCTTGACAGGACGCAGCGTTGTGACCAGGCAAGTCAGGGTTTCATTCAGAGGAGCTTCTTGACCCGCAAGAATGAAAACCACTTTCAGGAGGATTGCAGGTGACTGACTTAAAAATGCTTTTACGGATCAAATCCTTTATATTTTGGCTATGCTGTGAGATTTGTGTGTCTTTGTATGTGTAGGCATGCCGTTATGGAAGTGAACTCATTATTTGGAACTTCTATATAACTTCTGTAAATTGGCTTATTTTATGAAATTGCACTTTCTCCTTTCTTGTTCTTCTGAGTTTGTACCCCTATGGTTGAATTCACTTACTGTAAGTCGCTTTGAATAAAAGCGTCAGCTAAATGACATGGAATGTAATGTAATATATCGGGCAAAGGTCTACCTGTGGTGATTACACTTGACATTTACCTATTTACTCGTAAAGCCCACATGTCTGACAGATAAGTGTCGTTACTCATTGACCAAAGACTCAAACTTCTATGAAGCGAGCAGCTAAGTGACCGTTGTACAGCTGTCTCTCTCTCTCTCTCTCTCTCTCTCTCTCTCTACCACTCGGCAAACTAGATATTTGTATAGATTCACAGAAAGCCTGTTTCCTGAATTCTAAAAATGTTAGCTTATATAGAATATCTAAAAAATGTAAATAGACACTGCATATTAGCAGGAAACTTATTTTCTCAAAAGGCTGAAAAGAGCGACATTAAGCAAATTGTGTGTGTTTTTCTCCCGATGAATGGAAGCTGCCTCCCCCCTCAGTGCGGGATCCTGTGGTTAGGATCACACCGGTTCTGTGCCGTGGGTGTTCCTAATGAACGAGACGGGCACGCAGTGGACTACCACGAGGGCCACGTGTGATCTGGCCGACTGCTGCCACGGGGAAGCTGCTCCGCTGGCTCCCAGTGGGGGGGGGGAGCTGGTGTTAATTATTCATACTTAATTATCTCTCAGCATGTAACAGACTAACGGTCGTCTGGGAGGCTGTGCAATGGAAGAAAAAAAAAGCGCTCAGTAACACAAAAACTGTGGATTGTCAGATATTATTTTCATTCTATTGTGCAAACTTGATCATAAATAGTAAATAGTCAGATAACGTGAAAAGTCCCCCAGAGGCCACTTCGGCTTACGATGTCTTAACTTATAAATGAAAGAACAGAAGAAGAACAATGAGGGGGGGTCAGAGTTTGGGGGTGAGGAGGGGCACACACACACACACACACACACACACTCTCAGAGCTGCCTTGGGAGTGATTTTAATGACCTCCGTCACAAAAGTGTCTGTGACTGATCTGAGCCGAGGGTTTGAGACGCACGAATACAAACTCACACACTGTCACACACTCACATGATCTCACACACGCGTGCTGACTCTTTCTCGTAAATTCTTTGACAAAAAAACACACACGCACGCACGCACACACGCACGCAAACACACGGGGTTCACGGAGAGAGGGGGACCGTAGCAGGCCAGACGCGAGGCCACCACTCGGAGCCCTGTGCTACGCCGATGGAATGCAATTCATACACGTGCACACAACCGCTTCCCAACATGCTGGAGGTGAACTCCACCGCCCACTCAACGAGGCGCAGAGATCATCACCACCGTTAAATTGATCACACGTAAGAAAAAGAATCAGAGCCGTCTAAAGGATCCATTATACAATTATTTTAGGGGGACTTTAACTATTTATGATTGCTCCACAACAGCAACAGCTGTATTTAATGAGCTGAGAAACTAATAGTTGGCCCTACCGGGAAAACAAAATGAGGCCCTGACTGCTTGCTTGCCTGCCTCGGACCTGGGGACCCACATGATCATGAATATCACACAAACACACAGGGATTCTTTGTCTCTAATTAAACAAGGTGATTTGCATGCATGTAACACAGATTAATATGAAAGGGGGGGGGGGGGGGCATATGCCTGAGGTGGAGACTTGTTAATGGGTTTAATGCTATAGCTTCAGCTTATGATGACAAAGTAGTGACACTGCAGCTTTAGAAAATTACAAGGTTAAAACAAATTAGTATGGTAGTAAAAGGGTTTAATTCATGGGAAAAGAGAAAAAAAGCATTGTTATAAAAACAAAGGAGTAAGTTAATTTCCCTTTTATAAAATCCACACTTAAACTGGGTTTCTGTGGTGCAGGGAATGGGATCTGTATTGATGTTTGTGGTTTGTCTGGCACAAACAACACAAACTGAATAGTTAGCTTGACGTTGACGGCCACCACTGCTGAACACGCAAACAAGAAAGACGGCCACCGAACGAAATGAAACAAACCATCTATCAAAAGCCAGCCAAAAGACTACATCGCAGCACACTCGGCTCGATTGACAGGAGCTGTCTGGAAAGTGCAGGAGAGAAATGAGGAACTGGACACATTTTATTTATATATGAACAGAAAGAATTCCAAGGAAAAAAGTTGGGATATATGAGAAAGAAATTGCATTTGTGTGAAAAAGAATTGGTTTGGGGGTATTTCGGGGTTTGGCAGTAAGGCTTTAAGGGCTAAAGCCAGACTGAAAAGTGAAAAAGGAAGAAGGCTGACGCTGTTTTCAATTCCTTTACTGTCCTATTGCACGTCTACACGGAAACGTACTCAGGCACACACACACACATCCGTAAATTCAGAAACTGACCCAACCAAAAATCTTGTTCCTCCTTCCGAAAAGCATCCAGTGCCCCATGTACTCAAACATCCACACACAAACCCTTTACACACTGAAACACATCACACACAAAACAGCCCTCAGCGCTTATATCCTCTGATTTATGGTTGTTTAATATACAGGAATATTAAGCGCGCGGAGGTGAGGATCCCTGTCGACCGCTAGCATATTAATGGGTCCCGCGGAGCCTTGCTGACACCCTGTTTGTCATGTCGGGGCCCCGGCCCCTGCTCCCGACGCGCCCTACCCCATGCACACACATGAATACCTATGATACCTATGCATAAGTAATGGGACAGATCCCTGGCTTCTGCTGCAGGTACTGGGAGGCTGATGGAAGACGAACCAGTGTAAGAAAGATGGAGACAGGGAGTAAATAAAAAGTGGACGGGGGGGGGGAGATACAGGGAAGAATATACAAACACTCGGGTGGTGTTGATGAATTGAGCTGGATGGCTCTTTAGAGGTTTGGCATTTATAAGTAATTGATAAATTTAGATTTGAGTATTTTATAATTGCATAGCAAAAAAAATGTAAACAAAAAGGGAGCGTGTGTGAGTTTAACACAAAATATATCTAAAAAGTAATCCTCAAAAAATGTAAAGGAACCAGGAAATATATTAATCAGTCGAGGACAAAAGTTGAACTCCATTCTTAAATATTGCGATGATTAACATTTCCGTGCTTTGCCAGTCATTAACTTCCATTGTCAATGGTTATTAAGAAAAAAAATGATTTTTCAGTTGTGCTTGGCTGAATCGCATCGCGCACAGTGAAGACGGAGTGCACAAACACAACTGTTACGCTGCGTCTTTAAGATGATACAAAAGAAAGAAATATTAGGCAGCTCAGTGAAGCATGTGATGCAAGGCAACTCCTGGCGAAGATAAAGAGAAGGCCGCGCCAGTGGGAGCTGTTCGGATACGTCGCGCTTCATCAGCTTTAGTGAATGGCGTGCTAATGGGTCAGACCTTAGTGGGATGTGGCTTTTTTTTTTTCCTTTTCTCAATGAGTCAACACCGAGAGCTGAGACGCTACGTGCGTGTGTGTGTCTGTGTGTGAGCAAATAAGTGCGTTATGGCCTGAGACTGAAAAAGTCTCAGGCCATAACAATTACTGGGTTGAACAAGGCTTTAACGACACATATGAAACTTAATGATACAGATATTCATATATTTAACTTTTTTTTTTTAACGCTGATGGCATACAGTTTAAGTGACACCAGGTTAAAGATCACACTTAATTTGAATAAAATTTTGGGGCCAGTGAAGCATTCCTTTGTTATGCAAAGACAAATGTCAGGCTTTTTGTTAGTGATGGGGTAGACGTATTCACATCACCGTTTACTGTGCGTCACTCTGATATGAGTCCCCCTACCGTTTCCAGTTGTTTAGCCGCCTCCCCAAAACTCACGCAAAGACCCACATTTTTTTTTTTACTGCTACCAGTGCCAAGACCGCCACAGCGGGTGGCAGACTTACCAACAGACAGGAAGGACACGCAGCAACACAAGAAAGACAAAAATAAACAGTAATCGCATATTTTCTGTCCAGATTTGGACACAATCTCCTCAATGCACATGTTGCTGCAAGCTGCTGTGCAGTGGACTGAAAAGCAATAACAGAGCACGTGACCCCAAAAAACGCTTTTCCTCTTTCACCGCTGCTCTACACATTTCTTTTTTTTTTTTAGGTCAAATGACAGCTTTTTCCTCTTGCCTTCTGAACACCTTTTTGGGCTTCTCATGAATACATGTATGTGTTTACCAGGGCGAGCTGTACTTTGTGTGTGCATAGTGTGTGTGTGTGTTTGTGTTTGTCAGCCTTTCTGTATCGGACGTCTTTACTGCTTGTGGCAGGAGTCGCCCACTGGAGCTTCTGGCCCCTGACAGAGTGCTGCAGGGCCCGTCCTGCCCCCGAGCTGAAAGCTACCGCCAGCGAAAGCAATCAAACGCTGCGCGCTGCCCTCCCCGCCCCTGTCAGCTGTGGAATGACAGGCCAGGACATTCTGCCCAGCGGCCATTTACAATTAACTGCAATTAATTACACATCACAAATGGCAGCAAAAAGGAATAGGCCTCAGGAAAGATTTTAGTTAGGCGTTCGTTCCTCTACTTTCACCCTCCTGGGGAATTATTTCTTTAATACATGAACTTTTCTTAATTGTATATGATCTTTCAAGGAGCCTTGGGGAGTGTGAAGAATTTTGTTTAAGCTGTAAGTATATGAACAAAGTACAAAACTTAAATTGCTGTGCTTTTTTAGATTGTGTATGGTAACAGCTTCTCGTGTAACAGAATAACTATAATTATCTTTAGGACCTTTTTAAATCCCCTCTTTTACATGTATTGAATGATGACCTTCCGGTTACTTGATCCACTCTGAAATGTGTGGTTTTAGAATAAAACTTGTCAACTCGTGTGGAAAATTAGCTGATTTAAAATATTATTTTTGACCATTGAAAGACTTGTACTTGCCCTGCTGTCCTGTCACTTCTGGATAGTTGTGTTTGAGGAAGCTTCTGAGCCACGGTCAAATCAAACAAAGAGGCCTCCGAACGGCCGGCCAAAAGTATCATCATTACCATCCTTGCCCTGCCGCCAAGTTTAATATTTGATCCATTACTCTGTCTGGCAAGTTAAGTGCACAGCAGCTAGAATATACCCCCTAACTCCCCCTGACCCCATCTGAAATACTAATAAGCAATGCTGGATTTGGACATTTTCTAGAACAGATATGACTAAGCTGTTCATTGTTAATTGTTTAGATTAATATAATATTTTTCCTCCGTACAGGCAATTATTATGTCATAGCAGGTATCAACCTTTCCTAAATGGTGGACATGTCAATTCGGAAGGAAACTATTTAAATCCAAATTGATCATAGAAGTATATTTCTACAAAAAAAGGTCCAAATAGGTGAATGTGCTAACTGTGTTAAATTGCAGGTCATTGGCAAACACTGTTACTTCACTCAGAGTGTTGAAGCACATTCAGTGGGAATCCAGAAGCAATCAAACTCCAGTATTATTTCAAATGAAAATATTTCAAATACAATTGGATTGTCATATGAAATGTATTTAGAGGTTGAACTACCAAACAGTGGCCTATATAAAATAGTTTAAATCAGCTCCAACTCTAACAACATCTAAATAGTACATCCATTATAAAATAATGACATTATAACGAGTAACACTGGTTACTGCACATCACAGGTTTCACATGAACAACCGTGTGTTCTATCGGAGAGCCTTTGAGCAACACGTACCCTCGTACTTTGGACATCCCGTTCTCCTCCACGCAACAACTAATCGGGTCTTATTTATCTAATTTGAAGAATCCCAAACTTTTGACACTTTGAAACACTGTAAACACTCTGAATTACAGAGTCAAAAACTGAAATATAAGTTCATGTTGGCCAAACACCAGAACCGTAGAAAAGCAAACATGCGGCTTTACCTTCTAGCTTCATGCCAACGGTGAGGCACTTTTGGAAGCGGCAGTACGGGCAGCGCTTCCGCTGGGTCTTGTCGATCTGGCAGCTCTGGTTCTCTATACACGTGTAGCGCTTGTTGTTCTGGACGGTGCGCTTGAAGAAGCCCTGCGGAGAGAACCAATTAAGACGTCAACCCGCTTGACCCCTGCAATGCGATGGTAATTGGCCCATTCACACTCCCAGACAGATGGAGAGGGACGGGCTTAATGGATACAATCGCACATAGGGGGAAGTTTTCAAAGCAACACCACAGTTGATGTTGTGATGCTTTACGGACAGATGCAGAGTAAAGCAGAGCACCAATAAAACACCAATAAAACAAATGTCATTCTTGACTTGGAAAACTCATCTCCCCCAAAAAGTATTAGCAATTAATTTTGACAAAGTCACACGAGGAAATTATTAATGCAGTGGCATTTACACCAACGCTTAATTTAAATGATTTATCATTTTACAAATGAGCAAAACATACCTGCACGCTTAGTGTTTTACCAGCAATTTAAACTGCTTTAGTTTAATTTGTGTTCTGTCTAAAGGATATTGCTGTTCTCGTTAATACTATCTCATCATATTCAGGCAGCAACTACAGAATTTACGGGCAAAGCATCTTTTCATCTCTCCGCTTAATTATTGAAAAATACGAGCAAAGACGTCCAAAAAATCCAATAAATTATATCCATAATTCACAATTCCGGGATTACAGAGATTCATACCTGCAACATGTAATTAATTATAGGCAGTTGCAGTGAAAATCAAACGAGGGAAAGATGGTATTAACTTATTCCAGATCTATAACTGAGGAGGAGAATCCTTAAACCTGGTCCTTAAAAAAAATGAAAAAGAATAAGCCGCTGTCAATATCTCACCAAACCCAAATTTAATTGATAATCTGCATCGCCCGATCCGTCTAAAAAAAATAATGGAAAAAAGCTGCGCTCGATTTTGGATTATTGACTTCTCAGCGCTAAAAAATCCATGATTCAAAGAGAACTTTCTCTCCAATTTTCCATTTAGTGCACAGCATGCGCTATAAATATCTGAACCAAACTGGATGCTCGGAAACCACACAGCATCATGCTTGGAGATTAAGCGAACGACATCCCTGAAAAGCTTTTATTTCACCGGCACGTGAAGACTTTTATATTTGTAAAAAAAAGATTACTGCATACGTTGCAAACTAAGGTCTAATTCTAATTTGATGAAACAGACTTTGGAATTCCATCTCAGAAACGGCTCTGCGTGCACAAAAAGAGCAACCGAGAAACGTTTTGTGCTTCATATCAATACGGGCCAGTAAATCCAAAAGAAGCAGTGGAAACATGATTGACTACTTTTTCTCCCCTTGATCCCCGTCTGCCATGCTTTTCACTTGCTGTATTATGTATTCTGTCTAACTTTGAAATAAAGACAAAATCCCTGGGATTTGTTTTCCTTAAACGTCTTTAGATCTTAAATACATTTTTGATACGTCCCACGTGCCCTTTCACTCTGACCTTGACCTTCTTACTCCTTGCTCGCGATACCAGTATTTTAGCATTATTCTTTGGCTCTGTCAGTCTCAGTCTCCCAAAAAGTCCATGAAGCCTATTTCAGTTTATTGTTATTCCAGCAGGTACGATGTGGTACCATGTTTACTTCATAAACAAAGTGAACTCAGTGGTCTGTATGAAGTGGAAGTCATTGGTAGGATTATGATTATGAGTTTAACCATCTTTTTTTCAAAACTGGGGGTCGAATGACATAGGCAGGGATTACAGGGGGTCGAGGGGATTCAAAAAATTACAATATGAAATTTACTCAGTATTATACAAACTGAAGCAAATGTATTTTTATGTTAACAGACAACTAGGAATTAAATGTAGCTGCTTTTTCCCCTGCGTTGTTTTTCAGGGAGCTGAGAAACCTCGGTAATTACACTGGAGATGTATTGTTCTGCCTCACTGACAGCAAGTATTTAATACAGATATGAATCTGCAACTTGTCAACAGACTCGTATATCAGTCTGACGCCGACAATTGCACTGAATAGATGCTTGCATTCTATAGATAATCAATAATGAGCTTCAGGTAATTATCAATATCTCTCATGTTTCAACAAGGATAAGCAGCACTTTTTAAAAGACTTCATCTACATCCTTCATAAATGTACACACACACACACACACACACACACACATCCACACTGAGTCTGAACAGCAACGGAGATGCCACTGACGTCTCCCTTCAAGCGAGGGCTTAGCATCTCAAGGTCATAATATGGGATAACATCTATAACATCTGCTTTGAATAATGACCACATAGGCAAGAAATGTGCGCTGCAGCATCGATACAGTGAGCGGCACTTTTATGCCAAATAGTGTAAACGCAGGGACAGTGGTCTTAGCTTAATTTTTTTGCTGAAAGCTTTACTGGGCCAACCAAAGAACTTGGTTAAAGCCTAATAACTCAGTGTTGAGGAGGACATTAGAAATAGGCAGGATGGGACAAATAGGCCGTTGATGGAACTCCAAAGAATAGCGGCTCCGGTTTGCTTCATTATTTACCGGGAAACATGTTGCCGCCAGACAATGCTGCTGTTTAATGAACTTGTGATGAGAGTTTAGACTGCAGGATACAGGCGAGTACAAACAGAGATGCTATTACCCTGTGTGCTCTGCTCCCTGGGTAAAACCTCCTCCTCCACCTCCTGCTTTTGCCGGTTGCCAAAATTGCGACCAATAATAAAAAAAACATCCTTTGCACGCTTTTGAACTCGTGTTTCTTTTCCAAGTTTTGCCGTTTACGTAATCCTCTGACCCTCAACAAAAGGTGTTTACATCAATTGTTGCAATATTTTTTTTTGCCCTTGGCCACTTTGCTTTTGTTTCTTTTTATCTGCAATGTCGAAGAACTGAACAACTACACTCTTTGCAAGTAACACTCGACAACAAATTTGGCTAAATTACATGCATTATCGCAAAAAAATACACCTGCTTTATGAACAGAAGGCTTAATATACTAAAGTAACAGCCGTACAAAAAATGATCCATTGTATTTTAAAGTTGCATAGTACAAACACAGCTGTGTCAGGATTCAAGCCCCAGCAGCACTGCTGAATACACACCATCAAGCCACACTCAGCACCTGTAAACCTAAGACTTCCGTGCACTGCATGCAACTTTTATAATAACAGCAATGGATAGAAACACTATTACCAAACACTGTTTTAAATCATATATTATTCAAGATATCCAAGCAAATAAAATGACTGCAATTGTTGGGAGGGCGGGGAGGGGGGGCACCTACCTTGCAGCTCTCGCAGGTCAGTAGTCCGTAGTGATACCCTGAAACCTTGTCTCCGCACACGGGGCACATCTCGTCCAAATCTTCGTCATAGGTGTAGTCCATCATTTTTAACTGGTGGGCTGAGGATGGTGACACGGACACGCACAAAGTCAGTGCTGAGCAACTTCAACTTGCACCCATCAAGAAGAACCACGCGACGCCACCGGATGACATTCTTTTTTAACTTCGGGCGGACTTGTGCAGGTTTAATTTGAGAAAAGGGGGTGAGGGAAAAGAGGGGGGGGGGGGTTGGCGATGGATAGTCGGGCGTTGGAGTGAGTTCAAAGGACGACAACTATTAATTTCGTCCCTTCTGCATGTGTTGCGGACAGAAGCAAAAAAAAAAGCCTCTCACAAATATGCATCCGTCTAAGTCGTCAAATCGCTGGCGGAAATGGTGAGATATTAGTGTTAAGGATCGGAGGAGAATATGTTACCGCCCACAGACAAATAAAGACACACATACACACAGGAGCCCTTATCTCTGCAGGCGAGGAGAAAAACATACAAAACTTGAGCCAACGCTATTTTCTCTCTAAAAGAATCTCGCAATGCTGAGGGCCAATCGCTGCTTTTGTGTGCAAACGCGCAGGGAAACGTTGCATGTGACTTTCTGCGTGTGCTGGAGAAGAAGAAAAAAAACAGTCCAGGTCTTGAACATGTTTAGACATAGCCGTTTCTTTATATATTTATTTACGCTGATTTGAAAATCCATTTAGTGAAATGAGTGAGATTTCTCAATATCTGCAAATTGCGCCTCTTTTTTTTAAGGATTTAACACACTCCGAATCAGGTGTAATTGCGGCGTAGGCCCATCGGTTGCCTCGCGCATTAGAAATACGTGCATTGGTAAGACTGTGTGCGTGTGACAGCGCTTAGCAAACAGTCATGACATTTACAACAGTCGCAAAAGCATTTATGGTTGTAATCATTTTAAAAAAGCAGCCAGTATCAAACGCAAGAACCCTCCGTGGTCGTGGCGCGCTGGGATCCACGCTGCGTGTTCCAGCCGAAGCAACAAGTTCCAAAGAAGCTGCAGGATTTTTTTTCCCGCAGAAGGTCAAAGAAACTCTGTGTCCGAACTTTCTTCTGCCTACGAGCGCATCGGGGAGAACATTTGTTTGGGGCGGTTATCGGGCTGCAGATGTGGGCACGTTTTCATGAAGAGGTTTAACGGTTGCGCAGTGGACGAGGTCAATTGGATAAATTGGTAACATTTATTGGACGCAAATACGGAATATTTCCTTGAAAGAGCCCGTGTGGGTTCAATCCAGATGTTTACTCGCATAGACACGTAAATGATCCACGCTTCTGCTATTTCGATCCATTATAAAAGCACTATTAACCTGGGTTGTGTCCACTACTCTAGAGGAACATCATTTATTTGATGTACATAAGTGACGGAATTCAGTTAGTTGAACCTTCGTGCACCCCTGCTTCAGAAACGACACGCAACCTGCACACGCACGCACACACACACACACACACACACACACACACACACACACACACACACACACACACACACACACACACACACACACACACACATACACACACACACACACAGTGCGAGCAGTAAAGGTGCAGAAACATACCGGGACAACGCAACCGCTCACCTGCTGACTCTCACCTCGACGGCCACGTGCTTAACCCCCCCCCCCCCAAAAAAAGCTACAACGTTTGTAGAAAGTCCCGCTGATTCCTAAAAGAAATCCCTCTCTCAGTCCGAGCTACCTGGTTTTTAGCCCTTGCGTAAAAGTAGATAACGAGCTCTCCAAGCAGCCGCTCCTCGACTTGTGCGTGTGTGTTATCAGCGCCTCGTAAACCAGGACCGGGCTAATTGACTGTCCGTTTATGTTGCTGTAAAAGGACGTGTGGGAATGAGGGGGATACGTGCGTTTATCTTGGCAGAGGGGCGAGTCATCCCTTTTTTTCAATGATCGCTGCTTCGTGTGTTTATTTGTATTTATTGTATTATTTCAAAAACAGATCGTACAAATATTTTTTTTAAGAGTAAGTCATAAGTTTTATAAGTATGCCGAATCAGTTTTTTTTCCCCCCAATCAAAGCTGCACATTTTTTTAAATCAAAAACCCAACCTTGCACATTCAAAGATCAAATGATTGACTGAAAAAGATACAAAATAAATTCATCGAAAAAACGATTATATTTGGTGCCCCATTTTAATTTAGTAAAATCTCATTTTGAAAATGCATTCATTTTTGGAAATTTTTGAAAAAACTAAAACTGCAATTTGCTACAAAATATCAATAGTTTTAGTTTCATTTTGACACCATTATAACCATTTTACGATGCCTATCAAGTAGAACACGCTTCTGAGACTAGAGTTCCCTACAGGTCAAATATTGGAAGGGGGCAAATGTTCAGTTCATTTTTTCTTTTTGATAAATCACCAAAACATCAGGCTTAACAAATGTTTGTATCGAAATAACGGGTCAATTTTAGACATTCTACCAAGACGAAGTTAAGTGATTAATTTCAAAAACTACAGATTTATACAAGATAAATACACATCTATTTCGCCGATCGTAAGCACTGGGTACAATCATTGATCACCATAGTACGATACAGTTTGATTTGCATTCATGCTTTCTGACTGTTATCGCAGTAAAGATAGTATCGTAATAAAAAAGCAGAAAATAACACACACCGCAAACAACGATAAGATAAATTCCCACAATCTCAAAAGCGAATGACCTGTTAATACTTAATAATTTATACCTCCGTCATCCTGCAATAAATTGTCTTACCATGGGTCATTTCCCTTGTCCGCAGAAATGTGTTCAGATAAACGCGTGTTCAAAACTTTCCGTGACACGCGCGCCGGGGAACTTCCATTCCGACTACATTCTGTACAAGTGGAAGTGCAGGAGATGGAAACACGCGAATGACAGTTCTTACCTTGCATATTCCTTGGCACGCGCCGTTGTTCTCCATACGATCGACTGAGTCCCAGGGATTCAGTATCGACTTTGGGCAGCATGTCAGCGCCGCCGGCCTTTAAGCTGGAGACTCCGCACCGCTCGGCGGGACGCCTGGACGTGAGAGGGCGGATGTCCCCGCGACCCACTCAAACTGTTCCGAGTGTCTATCGAGCGCTTCTTTGCTTACTTTTAATCTCTTTCCGTCGTCCAATTATCGGACCATGCTGCGAACACGGAGTCTGATTCAAAGGATTCAGACTGACTTCAAACGTCCGGGTTGCATGGCCGGTGCGTATCTGTTTGGATTTAACTTGTGTGGGATTTTTCTCAAGATTGCATTTGCGCGCAGAAGAGGAACCCCAACGCAGGAAGCGGACACGAGGGATACTTTCGACGCCTAAGTCAAGAATAGTTGCGTGGTGATTTTAGGGAATAGGTCGCTTACTCAAAGGAGCCATCCGCAACGCGTCCGGATTGAAATGCGCTGGCGAGTTTCCCTTTTAGCTTCTTCAAAAGTGTGTTTGAGCGCGTCGCCCCTGAAGGTGGAACCCGGCAATGTAAACTTTCAGACTTTAGAATACAAGTACGCGCCACCGGGGCCGCCCCCTCCTGTGCGTAAAGTCGGATTTGGTGTGCCGGTCGAACTGTCTGGAGATGTGCAGACCTCTCCTCCTCCTCCTCCTCCTCCTCCTCCTCGCGGCTTTGTTTACCCCTCTCGGTCCAATCCGGCGCGCATGCGGTCGTCTGACATCATCTTCGGATGATCCAATCACGTGAGGAGACGGGGAAATATCGCCTCTAACCCTCCAGTTCCGTCTCTACCCGAAATTGCAGCTGTTTAATCCCGTTAATGATGGACTTTAAAGGTGGAGGGAGAACAAGCAAATTGATGCAACTGCGTGTAAGCGCAGACTCCCCGTGAGCGCACGGAGCGCAAAGGCAGCTCGCGAGGTATGTTGGTTGGAGCGTGTTACAACACGGTCCGCGGCACACGCATGCACACATGCCGAACGCACGATTCTAAAAAATGTGGATCTTTTTTGTTAATACAAATTGTGTCATTATATATATAGATATATACATACTCTCATTATATCGAAATTATGCTCGCAAGCCCTTAAAAAAGTTCCCTTTTGGGTTCGTTTGCTCAATTTACACAGAGGGCAGCAGGCCCGGCCTCGGGCTCATGCTGCTTTTTATTATATGGTCCCCTTACGCAAAAAAAATATACTCGTAATCTGAACTACTATCAGTAATTGGCTGAACAGGGATCAATGCATGATCTGACAACTGCAGGCAATTTTTTTTGGTGTCTTCCAAATGAAATGCATGAAGACAAGAAGTGATTAAAGTCATTCGTCAAGTAAAATCTCCCTGCACGCGCTTCACATGCAAACACAGGCGGGCGCATCGTCTCTGGGAGAACCGGACACGTCCCGGCGCGCACCGCCAGACACACATGGCGGGTCGCAGAGGGCACGCTCCACGCACGCGCTTGTTGTCGCGTCCAGTAAAACATGAGGAACAAGCAGGCGGGAATTATGATCAAGTTTATGTGAGAATTTATTTGTTGTATCTACCTATAAAATGTTATTATTAACGAGGGAGAAAATCCCGACCGAGCACCATAAAGGGAGCGAAATGTAATAAATTCCCCCTTTTTCTCTCATAATTGCACAATTTAAAGTAAATAGTTTACTGAAAAAGTTTCGTCCAATTTATTTACCTGTAGGAATTGGCCTCCTTACATTGCACACGCACATGCAGCCAGAAGATCGGCAAATGCAATCATATTATTTCGAGCTCGGATGGGAACAAATGCAGGCTTTGTCAACCTGTTAGCATCAGTTACTGTGTATTGAAAACCAGTTGATTATTTTATTGATGTGCTGTATCTCTAAAAAGTCACACTAACACTTATATTATTTAATAAGTCATGTCTCCTTTTTGTCTTTGAGTTCCAGATTGTGTTCCAGAACCGTTGCAATGTAAATCAGCTCCACACAATATGTTACCCCCCACAAGTATGTCATGTTTTGATGTACTTGTACCGGTTAGGGTGTACCAGCCCGGCTCACCGATGGATCTAACCTGATCTTGTTTACCACTTTTGGTTTGCCACAAGTTCCCTGCACTGGAAGTTCATTAATGTCTCCTGAGAACAATGTTTAATTTCACTCCTGTGCAATAATTCCCTTCATACTTTCACCTCCAACAGTGCGGCCTAACAAATGGGTTGCAAAGCTGACAATATATCATGACAACAAAATGAACTTACTAATTCCAAAAATATACTTGCTGTGGACTCAAATAAAAATGAAAACAAAAGAATTGTCACCCTGTGCCAGTGAGAGAAAACCCTTCAAACATCCACTCTGACACATATTCGTCTTTGTCTTCATCACCTGACCAGCACATCAACCACATCAATGTCGCTAAGGTGCACAGGCTTCCACCAATCAACAGCTTGCTCTCAATGCTGTGGTGTGATTGGATGAAGATGGGTTCCATGCACGCAGTGGGGGCGGAGTAGGGGGGATGACAAGAGGGAGGACAAGTAGGGGCAGCAGGCTCAGAGGGGGAATGCAGGGCAGGTTATAAAATGACACAGAGACTGATAAGACATTCTCTGGCGAAATAGCCACACTGGAATGATTAACCTGCGTGGAGCGAGAGAGAGGGAGGGAGATAGGTGAAATGAAATGAGGGGACGGGACGAAGGAATCTATGAGCGGTCAAAAGGTTCAGACATGAAAAGACAGAAACGAGGCAAACAAACAAACCGGAGAGCACAAGGCTTGTTTATTACTGACACATGTAATAAAACTATTAAAACCTAAAACTGGAGAAAGAGGGAGAGAGGTTCTTATGTGATTCTTTAGACAGTTTACATTTTGAAAGAAATATAAAAAACAAAGTCATATCGATCCTGTCACTCAAACTTTGGACTAATTCTCAGCCGTGTTTCACTTGTTTGTATTCTATCTGAATAGATCTCTCTCTCCCTCACACACACACACACACACATTGCCTGAACATTCAGATACAATATTCCACATGGTAAGCTTTTTTACTATTGTGCGTTCATGTGTGTGTGTGTGTTTATCAAGATGTATATTTGTATATATTACCATGTGGATATCTGGTGGGACAAGATCACAGCTGATCTTTTCGGATCAAACAGCTTTGGAATTGTAACGCACACTATCATTAAATTATCATCAACGCACTTGACATATTGTCAAAGTTGTTTCAGCAAACATTGTTGTCAATTCATCTCCTTTGACAGAAACACGTCCAACTGATCTTTGGAACGTATTTTTTAGCAAGTTGCAGCTTTGTCCGAGCCCGACGCATCTGACGTCGACACACCTGCGTCCTTCTTAGACACTCACTAACTTCCTGTGAGGACAGAAGTTCATTTTGGAAAATTCTGTGCACAAAACAACCCAAATATTCTGAAGCACCGTCCCTGATATGTCCAACACCGTCGGCACTAATTGCAGATTGAAGCCTAGAGGGCAGCGGCCAAGCTGCAGTGTTTGATGCATCGGGGTGAAAATGTGTTGCTCCTCTTGCGTCCTGCTCTTCGTTAACCATTTATTAAATTGCATTTTTGCCAGACATGGAATTCTTCTCTGTTCCTCAGTGACATTTTTTTTACATTTCTGATGTATGAAAGCAGTGCGTACAAGATAGCAAAAAAATATACATACATATATACTTTTATCCATGACAATACCGGTAACAAAATATAGTTACAGTAAAAGTGAGTTCTGATTGTCATTTCCTAATTCCTCAGCATACATCGTATCCATTTGACTTTCTATTGTGCCCCGGGTCAACTGCTCTTACCTGTTGGTCACCAGGTCTTTTACGCTGTGGACAGTCACAGGATTATTGACGGAAACTCAGTCTGTCAACGGCAAGTGTTGACATTTAGGCTTAGGAGATAAACCTCACTAGGGATCAAACAAAGACGGGCCCTTTTGACTCAAGAGAGCAGTGTGGGAGTTTGTGCGTATGCACGCATGTTTGTTCTGAGAGATTCTGCCAACCTCATGTGGGAAGACACAGATATCGTCTTATGGGACACACATTTAAATGATGGTAAATTATGGTACACACATTTAAATGAGTTAGACCCCTTACGAAAGTAAAAAACAGGGGTGTAAACACTCAAATGGTAAACCTGCATCCATCTTACTTTCGGCCTTAACTGGCATCCGTGTGGTTGAAAACACAAAATCCTCATGATAGGTAATTAAGAACCACTGGTGAACAGGACTACATTTTTAAAGACAAACCACTGTTATTATGCATTTACATAGTGAGATATCATTACCAGTTGAAATGCATGAAAATGCCACTGAGAGGAATATGTTATACGTTTTACATTAATGAAAAAACACAGAAGGTGCCGTTTCATTTCTTGCAAAGATTAATTGCGGTATTTTAAGTATTTTATCTTCCTAATGAAACCAAAGAGAGTTTAACTGTATATGTGGTTCAAAAACATAAAAATCAACCCTTAAGACACATATTAAGATGATTGTCTTATTTGTCTGTGGTACTTGTTCAGAGGTATCACAATTAATGATGCTCTTTAAAATGTGCTACACGTAGCGGCTGTAACACCGGTTAATGGAGTGTAATGATGCAAGCAGGAGATAAGAGGTTGATAAAAAAATACTGTGGGCTACTGTGACATAGAGGCGGGTCAAGGGCTTGGCGCTCCCTCAGGACCTGATGAAGTGCCAATCACACGTGTGAGGGATGGTAAAACTACAGAAAAGAAAAAGGTGGAAGGGAAAGGAGAGCGTCTGAGTGACGGAAGGAGAGGAAAGAGGGCTTCCGGTTTAGTCTTTTTGACAGAAGGAGGCAAGAGAAGAAGAGGAAGAAATAAGCATATCTACACATAGCTCAATGTCCCTCTTACAACTCTGACAGAAGGAAGGAAGAAGGAAGGGGAAGAGTAGAATACAAGGGAACAGCAGGCGTAAGAGGAGAGAGGAAGCCACTGGTTAAGAGAGACCACTGACCGCTCCAAACCGAGAAGGGAGGTGACAGATTTCAAATCCATTCATGATGTGAGAAATCAGCATAGTGGAGTCACATAACAGTTGCACACGTTTTCATACATAATAAAATAAGTCACTGAATAAGGTGGTGAGTAATGTGAGTCATATTTATGGCCTTCACAGTGACTTTATAGACTTCAAACCATTTCAACACTTACGATTAAAACACTGGACGCTCTTAGTGTCATGGAGCGCATCAAGTTCCGCCCCTAGCAGCAATACAAAGCGCCGCAGCGGATCAACAGAAGTTATTATTAGATATCTGGATACCTTTTCTTAGATGGAAATCACGTGTGGACACTGACTATTTCAACGCCAATCTCCAAAGCATGTGGCTCTCCAGGGACCCTTTTCTTTTCTCAATCATCTTCACCAGGACCGGATTGTACAGCTCTGGCCATTTCGCCCATTCCTCAACAAACACGACCGACAGCGACAATAATGTTGTAATAACGGTACGAGCCGCATGGCAACGGGTTGGCTAAATTAAGCTACAAACAAATGCAGATTTATTTGGAGCAGGACGCTGCGGCACAACATGTCACTTCGTTACTGACACCTCACA